CGTAAAGACGCTATGTAACTCTCTAATGCGACCTCACGAGAGAATCATTTTCTATCGCGATGATACTGCAGAGGACTTGACTTGAGGACTTGACAGAGGACTTGAAGGACTTTAGTTAACTAGATCTTAAGATTTTATAACGGGTCCTCAGGCTAGCTGAACATGCACAATGGAGATGCGTCGACATCTTACTCGAAGAATAGGTTCTGCGTGTGGCGAGCCACGGGACAGAAACCGTTGGAATGTTTACTGTCGCGTGTCGCTACAAATATTTCTTTTAAAGAGAGTTATAGAATTACTCCATAGCTTTATTAGACAAAGCGTTCATCCCGTGACCGCGGCTACGTTCGGCGACTGGCTGTCGCTTCGAGCCTAAGCTCATTACCACAACTTTCGAACAATTACAATTGTTTAATTATAGCTATAGTAGACTCTAGATTACAATGTTGCGGGATTATCCAAAATTCCAAAGACCCCGGTGTTCTTTCATCTCCGACATATTAATATAATTAGATATGGTATTAGCAATGATTTTCGGAAATTTTCTCGAACAACACTTTCTGTAGAATAATTTTCTGTTTAGTAAAATGTAGTTTATTCTCATTCAAAATATGTTTAAACAAATTGATATAATTATAACAAGCTTATAAGTTATATACTAAATTTACACATATATGTACTTTCAAAAAACCATTTTCTTTCGTGTCAGTCCTACCCATTCAACTTCGGTGATCTAACAATCAGCGTATCTGTATTATTTAATTACCTGGAAAATAGTATCAAAGTACCTTGGGAGGATCTTCGTTACTTATTTGGAGAAATAATGTATGGAGGACACATAACCGATGATTGGGATAGAAGACTATGCAAGACATATTTAGTAGAATATTTGAAAACGGAATTAGTTGAAGGTATATATAATAATTCACAATTATATTTCCAATATATTCGATTTGTTAAATCTATTTTTAAATACAATTACTTCTATAAAACTTTGTTTGTAAATTCTTTATTGGTCACTTCTTACAATAATCAAAACTTTTCAATATTGAAACGAAATATGCTTTATATCGTTAGGTCGTTATCTATGTATATCCCCTTCCCCAATTTACTTTTCTCTCTCATTACCCTCGTCTTCTCCTCCCACGATTTCAACGTTACGATTATTATTGTGTTCTTTTCTCCCACCCTTACCTTCTGTGTCCTCTCTACCTCTACCTCTACTCTCATATTTTCCTTTATGAATTCTGACACTGTCCCGTTATCGCTTTCCTTCCCCCATTCCGCGCCCTTTATTACGATGTTCCTCTTTCTTCTCTCTCTTTCTATCCTGCCCCTGCTCCTCCTCAAACCTCCTGATTTTTCCCTCCAATTCTTTCATCTCTCCTTTCCATCTTTCCCACTCACTATCCCATCTTTTTCTTTCCGTCTCCCTCTCGCTCCTCCATCTCACGCTCGCTCTTCGTCTCTCTCCTTTTCCCATCTTATCCTCTCTCCTTCCCTCTCCTTCTTCCCCCTTTCCCTCTCCTCTTTTCGATCCTTTTCCCATCTTTCTCTCTCCTCCTTCTTCTCCCTCCTCATCTCCTCTACTAGCTCTACCAACACCTCTAACCCCCTTTCTATTTTCTCCATCCTCGCGTCCTATGCTTCTTTGCCACCCACTCTCATTACTGCCTCCTTCTCTGTCACGCTGTATCTTTCCAGCGTGTTTCTGCGTTCTTCCTTCTCTCTCGCCTGGTTCGTTATCCTCGGTCTGCCTCTTGTCGCCATCTGTCTTTTTCCTGGCTAATTAGTTTTGTACTTTCGTCAACCTAACCTCTTCTTTCCTAGCTTTGTGTTTCACACTTTCTCCTGTCTTATTGACACTTTTTCTTTTATGCTTTTTTTTTATATCCCCTCTTCGTGCTTTCGCCCTTTTCTTTCTCTTCTTCTTTTCCCTTTGTCTTCCTCCTCCTTTTCCCCTTCACTTTACACTTTTTCACCGGGCTCACTAACCGCGTGTTACCTTCGCCCGCGTCCAAACCGGAAGTCGATATGCTTTATATCAATGTAGTTGCTTTAGAGATGCATATAATTCTTTACTATTTAATGATTACTAATCGTTTTCTTTTCTTATTTTGTATATATCTGAGGTGTTGGTAGTACGTGTGGAGTGCCAAAGAAATACTTTTGTTTAACAGTATATTTATTCTCACTTGACGGCTTTGTTACAAGTCTCGACTCGCGACTTGAGCGAAAGATAATTTACTCGCGTTTCTCGATTTCGACTGTTCAATCACGCTTCTTGGTCACCACTCGTCTCTCAATCCATTTCGTTTCTTTTTGTCACCTCACAATATCCCCACTACTGTACTGACCGTGGTCACGTACGCCTTCTTTCGAGTATTTGGCGAAAGGACCGTAGGGATATCGATTGCTTACGTTTTGACGGTCTCTCGTAAACAGTCTGTCAACAATGGTATACTATGTACCTACGAAACCGTTGGAAAGTTCTTTGTTGTCGAATGCCGCTACACATCACTTTGGATGATTATTATAACATAACCGATTTTTCAAAGTAATAATACAATTTCAATTTATTTTTTATTTGGAAAGTAAATCTTTCGCCTTATAGAAGTTTATAAACTCTAATGAAAAGATTAATGATAAGAATTCTTTTATTATTCTTGAATTAGCACAAGTACATATGAAATACGTTTTTTAAATTGTTATAACATTGTATCTTCGTTTTCGTAATTTGTACACTTGTACAATTTCATAAAGTATTAATATACGGTTCACAAATATCTTCGAAATTGTTGATATTATATCGCTTTGCAATACACATCAAAATCAAATTATCTCTAAAACAGCCATTTCAGAGTGTGAATTTTATTCTATTATTTCTTTTGCCTTTTCAGGACTGCACCGATTAATGCCAAATAATAAAATACAAAATATATAATTCCACATAAAAATGTAATATTAACATTCAGAAATCCTTCAGTTATCCATTCGTGAAAAAATTATATCAAATTATATATTCCTCGAAATTGTTGAACTTTTGTTTGAAATATTTTTCGACACCATCAATAGCTTCGACAATTTACGACGAGATGGAATTAGAAGGCATTACAACAATTTTTACAGAAACAGTTAACAAAGAAATGAATTTACACTTTTTGTGTAGGTGAACTATACCTTGCACCAGATTTTTTGGTACCACCAAATAGTGATTACGATGCATATCATCAGTACGTCGATAACTACTTACCTGCTGAAAGTCCTGTTCTGTATGGACTTCATCCCAATGCAGAAATTGGTAAATATATATAACATTTCAAAACGACCTAATGAAACTGACATAATATCATATCACACTATTAGATAATAACTAAGGGATACAAGTCAATGTTGTGAGATCGCTAATTCGAATCAAAGTTTATGTATTTGGAGTTGAAGTGATTAATAATAGTAATCGATTAATAATTGATGAACGATTACTATGAACGATCACAGTAGCATTATAATTAGCTGATATCCTCGGTCCTTACCCGGACATGTGTGTCCTTAGTAACTAATTGATGTTAATATTGCAACGAATAAGTCAAAACGAAAAGAAAATGAGTAACAATTGTTCTGAGAAATAATTACCTTGCCTGTTGTAAGACGTGAGTCTTATGCTCCCCACTATTGTATACGACGCTCGAACTTATCCCGAATACAGCCGAAGAATGACGATTGATCTGTTCGGGCCATCTCTCGCTGTCGTGCCAATTTTCCAAATGATCAGCTGTATAATAATAATAATAAAAAACTGTCATGCCAACTTCATCGTTATCAGTGAAGGCGCAATTTATTCGTTTTGAATCTTTTAATGTTCTCTTTCGTTGCTTGATAACGTAAGATAGTAAATAGGTACTATTTTGACTAAACCATCTTTGGAATGTTCTCTATCGAATGATTCGAGTCCAATTTAAATCGGTGCAGTAGTTTTTAAGTTATAACCGAAGGAACATAAAAGTATTTTGCACTTTATATATGTATATATGTACGTGTATATGTATACCAGAGATAGAGATGTTACAAAATTTGAAACCTATACTGGGCCCTTGACTGTTGGGCTCTGTTGGTTATAGACAACATAAGTTAGAAGATGTAACAATTCTGGTTGTAATAATTGCGTAATGTAATTAATTTTTATCTGAATTCTTAAGAACTGGCCGTTTACAATGATTAAACTGTTTAACAATTGAACTATTAAACAAAAGAAAATAATATCGGCATCTTTTATATATATTTATATATAAATAAATGGTTGCTGTGTCTTTTTCCCACTTATATTGCAGTCTATGTATAAAGAAATTTATTTTCAATACGTTGAATAATATTTGTTGTCATATACTACGCACAAACACTCATTTCTCGTAATAATCCAACAGGTACAAATAGAAATTTGTACGTACATTGTTTGATGAAGTTTCGTAATAGTCCAATAAAAAAAAAAAAAAATTCTAATTTGTCCTTAGAACTCGTAAATTGATGAATTCGTAATATAATGTCAAATTTTAGTCAATTCTCGATTTAACATAAAGACTTTCTGAAATTGATACACTAAAGAATTTATTTTATACATTTATTAGGGTTTTTAACACAAACTGTGGAAAATTTGTTTAAAACGTTATTGGGTATACTAACAAGAACTGCCAGCGATACAACAAGCGGAGATATTTCAAAAGAAGACAAAATAAAAGGACAAATAGAAGACTTATTGGACAAACTACCAGAAGAATTTAATATGCTAGAACTTTACAGCAAGGTACTCACGGTCTCTCTCTACTACTAATTTTAATGAATTACTTAATAAATCTAAATTTAAAATAGAAATTAGTAATTAAGAAACCGGAAATCTTTAAAGGAGCGTTCAGGCGATCAATATTTATTATTAATATTATTGTCAATATTTAAGGATCTCAATATTGTATTGACAATGTACAGAATATTCAATTTTGGAAAACTAAGGCCAAACAGCGGTTGTAGGGGACATATGTATACACTCATACGGAAAAATTATTGAGTACTAATATTTAAAACATTTTAAGCTCATCAAAATCGTTGCATTATTTATCCAATTAACTGCGTTCAACGCGTATACGCGACATTGCTTGATTTTAATTACGCACCCCGTAAGGGATTTTGAAAACTAAATTCCGCAGTTAACTGGTTAACATCGAAGATAGACCGAGGGACAAAATTGGGTATAAAAAGTCGGATCTCAGAACAATTTCCGTCTTTAATGAAATATTTGTTAAATTTCTTAGGTGGAAGATCGTACACCATTTGTCACAGTTGCTTTACAAGAGTGCGAACGAATGAATCTACTGTGTGAAGAACTTAGAAGATCCCTGCAAGAATTAGAGTTAGGCTTAAAAGTAATGACAAAGTTTTATGCATTTTTACATTTTTGCTGTATACTTTTTTACGCAAACGCATACATGGTCGTTCGCATGCACGACACATACAGAATACTAGATGTAACTAGGGTAAACTGCAGCTCAGAAACAATATGAGATAGGAAAAAATCTCATTAAACAAAATTAGATAATTTCAAATAATACCTGATCTGGTGTATATATAAGTAGTATCTGGATGTATAACCAAAACTTTGCCCGAATTTATCTCCCACAAATTTCTAGAATTGCTTGCACGTAATAGGAAATATACTAAGAAATAACTTTACCTATTCTGTCTCGCACTGTCTGTCTCTAACCTCTACCAGAGAGGAAATTTCTCTCTGCCCCTACCTTTGGTGCACGCATTATATAGATCCGTAGAGTGAGCGCGAATTTTAATAAATTATTATTATCAGTTGAATCTTTTTCTATAATTAAGAAGATTACTGACAACAAAAGTTTAGGTTATTAGGAACTCTTTAGTTCACATTTTCGTTCCATATACTTACCTATTAATTAAGATAATTAAATTAAAACTTTACTGATATTTGAGCACTGTTCTAGATTTTTGAAGTCACGCGTTCTTTGAGTACATTCGGTACGTGGTCGGAAACGTTCGGTCTTACTAATTTTTAATTGCTTGTAACTGTTTTATTATTAATCATTGTAGAAAAAAAATACGTGTCACAAATCTTTCTTTCCTAAATTAATTTACATAATCAGTGAATAGTATGCAAGTAGCGAATTCTTGGGAAGTCACCTCTCCGGTTATCTTCCATTCCTACTTCTCGTCCCTATCGTTATACATACTGTATGCTCAATACCGTTTGTTCATTACCTTCGGTTATACTGTTTATTGTGATATATGTAGGAATGCTGCATTTTTATATTATTTTTATATACATAAATATTGTTTATCGTATAGGAGTAATAAAAGATAGATCTCTATGTTTAAAAATTATAATGTCACGTTCAAGATCAGGTTTCAAGGTCACCGCAATGTCAAACACAATAGCGTATAATATGTTCCCTTTCATATTATGCGATTTTTTCTGAGAGATCTCGTGACATTCGTGTTTTTCGAGATATTTCAGCGGCTCACGATAAAGCGGACACACTGTATATATGTTTACCAATCAAAAAATTGTAATTATTGCGTATTTTACAAAACACGAGAATTAAAAAAAGAACCAGAATTCTGTTACCTTAGAAGACTCTCTCGTTAAAAATCTATCAAAATAAATTACTATTAATAACTGTAACGTTAATTTCAAATTAATAACGATATTGGTGAAATATTTAATACAGATATAACTGAGAAAGTGGTTTCAAACATTTAGCTGGTAATGTATGTGCATTTCATTTAGAAATAACAAACGGAAACATTCGATAATTGCACAAAAGGATCCCATGCATAATTGCACAGTCGTCGTTCCTGCTGCGAGACGCCTGACGTACCGGAAATCGAATATCACTCAGACAATTTATCTAGATACTAAATCAAAAGTAAAACTGTTTTATCTTTTACTCTTTCTGAATCATTCTTTTACTAACGTATTTGTGAGATCTTTCTGATAAAAATGAAAACCAAACAAATAATTTGGATTATATTTACTTATTAACACGTATTTAATTATTATTTACACAGTAAGCAAATATGCATATTGGTAAGTTTCATTGGTTACAAATCAGAAATAGAAAATTTACTCTTTGAGTTAAAGGTCTAAGCTTGGGATAAGGTTGAGGTTAGGTTTAATGTTTGCCGAATGCTTCGACTCTCAGTCGCTTTTCTTCTTTCACTCGCGTTATCCTCTTCTACATTGGGCATATCTAAGATCTCAGTTCTTAGAATAGTCTCTACCTCCCTATAATTGCAACACTTGAGTTTCGACTTTTGTGTAATTACCGAATGTTTCTTATATGTGTTTCTGGAGCCTAATTTCCCAATTGTATGTTATATAAAATACCTTTAATTATATCAGAAAGAAAGAAATCATTGTCGAATTATACCATATGATGAGTGCAATGACAAAGCGACATTCTCCTATGCGACTCAGATTACTGTTACAACTCTTGGAACCTATTGCCGTACTTCTTCCATCATCATTAAATCAATTAGAACATGATCAACTTAAAACTATTGAAATGTGACATTAAATTCGAAAGTGAATTTTATATTAAACGTAACTGCTTATAGAAAAAAATTATAACTTCTCAAATTTATTGATGATAGATGAAGGAAGTTTCATAATCTTTTGAATTTTCAAACTTTAAATGCTGCTTTGTAACACAACGCCAGACAATTAATTAGTGACTTTTTTTTTTTTTTTTGATAGGGAGAATTAACTATTAATGCTGAGATGGAAGATCTACAAAATTATATAATGATGGATGCTGTTCCTCCGTCTTGGACAAAAAGAGCTTACCCTTCAGAATTAGGATTAAACAGTTGGTTCACGGATATGTTGTATCGAATAAATGAATTATCTAATTGGACTGCTGATTTTAACGTAAACATTTACTTATTTCTTACTATTATTGTAACTTTTTTTATTGTATAAAACAATGCCCTATTAATATCGAAATGTTTCAGTTTGCGAAACTGATAATTGAATCCGTGGCAAATTTTGATGCCTGGAATTCAACTCAAACTGGTAAAATAAACATAGGAAAATTGAATGAGCGACGGAATAAAGCTTCGTTCAACGCACACGATTGTTGCTACCCATAAAAAGTGAAATTTTAATAACTTTCCGGTAGGAAAAAGCTGTAAAAGAGTGCTTAAATCTATTCAACCAAAATAAGTTTAGGTGCGAACTAATATAAATCAAAGTGTTTTCATCTTCAGATTATTAATCTGCAGATAATTCATAGTAAATAGAATATGAATCTGCCTGAACTGAATCCAGAATAGCTGGATTGAGTTTGTGTAAATTCATATTAATTGAGAACATCGCTCCAATCTATTACAATAACTTTCATTAAGAAAAAATGGAAAGTATAAAATTTGACATTTTCAAGCAGCTTTATTTCTTCGCATACTCGCCTTTAATATCCTGTACTTTGTGCCCTTTAGCTGAACTTGGGAAACAATCTTTTGCTTGAACTACTATGTATTCGAGAAGATGACAAACCAGATATTAACGAATCTTCTTTCAGACGATATGAATATATTGTTTACGTGTACCAAACGCAGAATTTTTCTTTTTTGCCAATTAACATTAAAATCTAAAAACTCTTACAACATTATTATTCAACTTTATTGCAATCTTATTCTACTCAGCAATTAATCTATTCTAATGACATAACGAATCATTATGTAGTTACCATCGTCGGTATGGCTAGGTGGTTTTTTCAATCCTCAATCATTCCTAACTGCAATTATGCAACAAACCGCACGCAAAAATGAATGGCCATTGGACAAAATGTGTTTATATTGCGAAGTACTGCGAAAAACCAAAGAAGAAATCACGTAATTATTAAAAACATTACTCCGTCATTCCTTCAAACATATCCTTTATTTTTGTTTTTCCTTACTGTATGATGTTAATGTCGGGTATAGTATACTTGTCGCACATGTACAATGATGAAAAAAAGTATTTGTACATACACATACTTATTTTTTAATGAACCTTTTTATGGCGAAATCCACGATTTATTTTCGTAGAATCAATTTTTGGTAGTCGTATGAAAGTACTATTACATATATTATTATATTATATTATATAATATATAATACTGTTAAATGACACAAAGATCACTGCGGATGAGCGGGGAGAATGAAGAGGCACGCGCGCGTACATACGCACACAGGCTTAGAGCGTTGATTCATTTATAGTATTGTATATCACTTTTTGTTATTTATTAATTTCATTTTATTATTAAGTTGATATGATTTTTTGAGAACGCGATGTAAACTTGTGAGGATTTGTAAGGTTAAACGAAAGCAAGAGTGGAGTTTATAGCAGCGAAAACGAACAACGAATTATTGTCTGAACTAGAAGTCATGTACCCCCATAAGGGAGACAAAAAATAATGGCATTAGATTTAATATATATGAATTTGCGATTATCTTCTTATACATATATATGTGTGTGTGTATACATGTGTATATACAAATATTTTAAAGTATTAATAAATAGAGATATCTTAACTGTATTTTTAAATATTTTTAATATTTTACTTCAAGTACATTTATTTAAATAAACTGACTAGTTTTCATCGTTAACGAAATTCAGTTACAATTTGTATAAATTTTATTCCAGAGTAATAATAATAGATTTTTCACTAAAACTTTACAGATCAGCACCAAGAGAAGGCGCTTATATAAACGGATTGTACATGGAAGGTGCACGATGGGACGTTCAAACAGGATGTATCATGGACTCTCGATTTAAAGAATTGTTTCCATTATTACCAATAATGTATATTAGGGCGATTACACAGGACAAACAAGATTTAAAGAATATGTATGAATGTCCTGTGTATAAAACACGATCGCGAGGTCCTACTTATGTGTGGACGTTCAATTTAAGAACTAAGGAGAGAGCTAGTAAGTGGATTCTTGGTGGAGTGGCAATTCTATTACAAATCTAATTTTATAAATTAAATTATGGACTAAATATGCAATTAAAATAAAGATTTTCGAAATTGACAAAGAGTATTGGTATTCATTTTTCACACACAGTATACTTTATGTAAGATAATATTCATATGAAAGAAGAAGTACAACGCTTCTCTACGCACGATTACAGTTTATTTCTCCATTTTAAATTTCTTTACAACTTACGAGTTTTGGTGGGGCTGTGAGATTTTGGGGAGGGGTGGGAGAGGGCGGGCGGAGAGGGGAAGGGATGGGTGTCCTGTAGAATTATTTACAATATTTGCAATGTTTACAATATTTACACTATTTTACACAGAGGGAGATTAGAGCGTTGCCGTTTTGTGGTTCTTTCTCTTGTTATTTCTTATTATGGTTTCGGTCTAAACCAATATTTTTTTGTTTTTTCTGTGATTGCCTTCTGTGTCTTTTTGGGGAAGGGCCATGTTGTATTTCCACATAGTGTCTATAGTCTGTCCATTTAACTTTTCCTCGTAGAGTATTGTTTTAATTCCTATTTTTCTTTTTATATGGTAGATTATTGAGATACTATTTTGGTCTTGGAGGTAGTTTCTTTCGTCTAGGTATAAAAACGTTTCGGGGGAGATGTAACCTGTTGTCAGTGCATATTTGTAATATGAATCGTTTAGAAATAAGCAACCGAAGATTAAACTACTTTCTTTTATCTTTGCAGCTTGTGTGAAATGGTGTATTGTTAGCTTTAAGATGTGCCTATTTTAATTAAGTTTTGTCGAATGCTGCTTCCGAAAACCGAATTGAAGATCTGCCAGTGTTTTCAAATCCTCTAGGAGTGGAAGGAGTCGATTCGTTACCATCTTCTCGAATAGTTTTGACAAAGTAGGTAGAAGACTAATTGGGCGATAGGAGCTGGTTTCGAGTATTGGTTTACCGAGCTTAGGGATGAGAGTAATGGATGAGATTTTCCAGGACTTAGGATAGTGTTCGAGGCGAAGAATTGCGTTAAAAATTGATATGATGAGTGCAATCCCTTTTGTGGGAAGTTCCTTGATTGCTTTATTACATATTTGGTCATGCCCCGCTGCTTTCTTGGGATTCAGGCGACTGATTGATTCTATAATCTCTGCAGAAGTGAAGGGGTTCAATAGGAGGGGACATTTGTTATTTTCGCGGCAGTTTTGGTGGAGCGAAGTTTAAATACGTTAGATAGGTGATTAGTAAGCAGGTTGGCTGTTCACAATTGTTGGTATGTCTGCCGTATATGGTGTGTTAGTATTGGTCCTAGGACGCTTCCTTGTGGTACTCCTGCCTTGATATCCTTAATTTCAGAATATGCATCATTTAT